ATCTATCACACCTGATTCAACTCATCAGCTCATTAGTGGAGACTGAAAGACCTGAAGTGGGTGTGTCAGATAGAGGAAGACATACAAAACTTGCAGTGCTGGGGGTAGTTCATGGAGAGGTTTGAGAACCCCTGCTCTAGTGGACGGTTACTGTCCCGTGAAATTGACAATCGTGCCGTCCCGTCGAGGATGTTCTTCTGATGGAGACCGCTCTAGAGGACACAAATGCTGTCGATTTGACCTTAGGCCTGTTTGTGTGCTGCCCGTTTCCGGTGAGTTTCGGTTAATGGATGCTAGGGGTCCTCCCCAAAAAAAATAAATAAAAAATAACCCATTGAATTCAATAAGTTTTAAGCAGAACAATGTTACGTTAAGTGAATGGAAATGTTCAGCATTCAGTGATGGTGTCTGTATAACAGCAAAGCCAGGACGGTGTCCACCCCAATCATCTGGAAGAAGATTATGTTCCTGTAAGAGTGACTCTAACTGTCCCGACAATGAGAAGTGCTGCAGCAATGGATGTGGACGTTATTGTACGGCTCCATATACAGGTATTTGTGTTATATTGTTTTGGTTAATAATATAAAATTCTGAAGTAGGTTTGAATTCATCCCTTAGGGTAGTTTTTAAACACAATGTCTTTACAAAATAAAGAGGAAAAATACTTATATATTTCACTCTGTAGGGAAAACTTTCTATTCATGCTTTGAGTGTTTCGTGCTGTTAATTGAAGTGGCATACTGTCTATATGCACAAACTAAAGCTGACTATCTGTGTCCACGCAGTGAAGCCGGGTCAATGTCCCAAACCGAAGAGCATTCCACTGTTTGCTGAAAGCTGTTTCCATGATGACCAGTGTCCTGCCACACAGAAATGTTGCCCAACCACCAGTGGTCATGCATGCAGTGAACCACATGGTCAGGGAAGCGGTCAAGGATTTGACCAGGGGAGTAGATTTGGCTGCATGCAGTGAACCATGTGCTCAGGGAAGCGGTCAAGCATTTGGCCAGGGGAGTGGATTTGGCCAGGGGAGTGGGAACGGTCATGGAAGCGGTTTTGGCCAGGGGAACGGTCAGGGAAGCTATCATGGTCAGGGAAGCGGTCATGGTCAGGGAAGTGGTCAAGGTACTGTTCAGGGAAGCGGTCAGGGAAGTGGTCAAGGTACTGTTCAGGGAAGCGGCCAGGGAAGCGGTCAAGGTCAGGGAAGCGGCCAGGGAAG